AACTCTTAACTGCTGACCCATCTCCCGGCCCCTATCTCTTCCTTTTTAACAGACACATTTAGCATTGCATGGCAAAGACAGACGGTGATTTAGTCAACTATTTATTAACTATGTCTAATTTCGCTAACACAAACAGATCAGTGGTAAATATATCCATTCACATATCCCTTCAGAATGGTGCTTTTTTTAATTTCTGTTAGGCGGATTCCCAAAAGTGTGGTTCTTTTTTCTTTCCTTTTCTTTTCTTTTCTTTTCTTTTCTTTTCTTTTCTTTTCTTTTGTAGAGACGGCCATATTAATGTCTGAAGATCACACCAGTTCACATTCCAACCAGTAAGGTTTGAGCACCCCTCTCCTGTCTTCCTACCATCTCACGCATTTCCTCTTCTATTTCCCATATTTATGGGTTAAAAACAGTACACGTCATTGCTCCTTCAACTGTTTGTTTAATTCTTTCTAAACTGAAGTAACGATTTTTTTCAGCTACTTTAGTTTTTCATTTTTAGAGGTTCTATTGGGCTAAAAAAAAATCTCCCCGGTCTTTAAAAAAAAATTACATCTTCTTGTTCTTTACTCACGTTTAGGTTTCTGTTGGGTTTTGGTTTTGTAGATGTGTGGCTAGAACGCAGGTCCTGGTTGTGTGATAGGCAAGGGTGCTACCACTTAGCCACACCTGCCGCTCATGTTTTAGATGCCCCCTTTGGTTTATTTCATGACATTCAATACACTCACACTGTACGCCTAGCAATCTCAGGGTCTGAGGGGCTCATGCTCGGCTCTGTTCGACTTTTCCTTGTGATTCTTTGTTTCCTTTTGTGGTTTGTGGTTCCGGACTGTGAGCTTGTTTGAAAGACCTCTTGCTATCTGTGTACATTCTTTGAAACTTGGTTTGATTATACTTTCACTCCCGGAGGGTTTCACTTTCTCCTTCCTTCCCTCTTTCCCATCTCTCTTCTTTCCTTGTGGGGTGTGTGTGTGTGTGTGTGTGTGTGTGTGTGTATGTGTGTGTGTGTGTGTGTTTCTGGAGGGTCAAACCCAGACTTCATATATGCTAAGCAAATGTGCTACCACTGAGTTACACCCCAGTCTCTCGGGTTTTATTTTCTTTGCTGAGTGTGTGATTGCACTATCTAATCAGTTTCATTTGAATTAAGTTTATAGCTGTTGTCTCTGTTGATGACCCTACTGGGCTCCTGTAGTGTAAATACTGGGCTCTTGTAGTGTAAATATGTTTTAGAGAAGACTTTTCTCACTCAGAACTAAGGAATGAAACAGGTAAGTTTCACAGCACTTGCCTTTGAGTGGCAGCTTTTTTCCCCCCTAATTTACCATTTTATAGTCTCTGGTCTGACACTCTACCCTCCGAGAGCCCCAGGATTTGTCTCCTAGTACCCCTTCCCTGAGAAGTCATAGGTTACTCGAAGTTGATGACAGCCCACAGAACCAATGGAGTCCATGCTCCACATCTCAGAGCGCTTTTAATCCAGCTAAATAAGCACTACAGGTGTTGTACAAAGAGGCGGGGGAGGGGGGTAATAGCCATAGAGTTTCTCAGGGGCGGGGAGTCACGAGCCTCTCGGCCTGGGAAGTTATCGACACGTGGCAGGACCATGTTTCCCGCCCATAAGTTATCTACCCAAGGCTGTGCTGGGTAGTCAGTGCGAGCTGTCCTTTCCCACCAGGATGAGCCTGCCGGCAAACCAAGCTAAGGAGGCCAGCCAGGAGTCTCTGCCCGCAAACCAACTCAAGGAGCACAGCCCGGAGCCCCGGATCGTATGCTCCGACCCGGACATCGTAAGTGCGCCCCTGAGCAGCACCTGCTCCGCCGGTGTCCTGAACGCCGCACCCCCAACCCCGGCCGCACGCTTCCCTAGCTCGGGTCCATTTTCGTTCGCCCATCCTCCAGTAGTCCCCTACCCCCGCCCCCGGGAAGCATCCCCCCGCCTCCGCCTGTCAGTAAACTCCTTTGATACCTGTGCGTTCCGCCTCCACTCCACCAAGCTCTGGGCAGTCTTTCCTTTGCTTTCTTCTTCCCTGGCTCTCACTTCACTTAGTCTGCTTTAGTTCCTGTGTGTGTCCCCTCTGAGATCCCCCGGCTTGGCTTGGCGTAGTCCGGGGGTGGGGGTTGGCGGTGGGGAGGGTACTTCAGTCAGTCCCTTTACTCTGCCACCTGAGAGGAGTAGCCTGACCAGCTCCAGCACGCGCTCTCTCTGCCCCAAAGAGTGCTCAGCTTGCCTTCTGTTGTGGACTGGGTGAGAGGATTTGCGAGGAGCGCAACCCGGGTTTGCTGCGTGCAAAGCCCCAGGAGGAAAAGAAGCGAGAAAGATTAACTGGAGTTAATGAGGCTAACACGGGAGCTATTCTCACGGCTGTAGTAGACCCCAAAAAGGAAGGGTGGGCATTTTATTGAAGACGTCTATATATGTCCATACAGGAAAGCACATACTCAGTTTTAGTTCATAGATCGCATGCTCAACCGTTACAGAGGCCAGTTAGGCCCAGGATGTGGCTCAGTGGTAGAGACAGTTTACTAGGAAGACCAGGACTCAGTCCCCAGCACTGCCAACAAAACAGGAGCAACAAATAATAATAATCATTCTTTAACTGAATTCCACAGCACATACCTACAATCTTTCTGGGGCATCTGGAGACTGTCTTTTTAAAAAAAATGGCCAACATAAACTCTTTTAGGACATGCTCACTCGGCGTCATAGCAGTTGCCTATCAGAAAACTCAATGGAGCTCTCCAGAGTTTTAGTTGAAATAAAAGAAAGGACAACTTTGAGGGTGTGTTAAGTAGGTGGTACTCCTGCCCCCCTCCACCTCCACCCCTCACTTCCCTACCCTCATTTAGTGTAGAAGTTAGCCCCTAAAGGTGCCCACCTCACTTAGCAGCTAACAGTAAGTCTGGGTACACGCTAAGAGAATAAAATTCTCATTCTCATCAGGATTGAGCAAGGAGAGAGAGCAGGCCCAGCAGCAGGCAAAGTGGCTTGTTCCAATAGTGTTAGAAGGATGTCATTGTTGGCTGTTTTCAAAGCTACCTGCCTAGTGTCAAGGTGTTCAACATTCAGGGCGTTTCATCTTCCCTGCTCAAGAAGGGCTTGAATGAGTTCCTAGGTGAAGGTCATGCATGGAGCCAGCACTGAACCTGATACCAGGTAGGGCAAGACCGGTGTTTATCAGAATACCAGGTTCTGCTGTGGATCGGGACAAGGGTGAACTTCATTCAATATAACAGGTATTCATTGAGTGCCTCTGGTGTGCTGAGCCCTGCTAGTGGGTGCTAGTGATGTATATGGACTAGGAATGTGTCCCCTTTCAAACCTCACGGTCTAATGGAGGATGGACAAACAGGGGATCCCAAGGGAGCAGCTACTGTAACAGTAGCTCTACAAGTCACTATGGGGTCATGAGACCACCCTTCCGGAAGGCCCCTGGGGAACTAACTTGAACGATGGTAGATTTGCCAGGCATGGTGACACATGCATTTAATCCAGGCACTTGGGAGACAGAGGCACGTGGATCTCTGAGTTCAAGGCCAGCCTGGTCTACAGAGCAAGTTGCAGAACAGCCAGGACTATACAGAAACCCTGTCTCAAAAAACCAGAAGGATTAGAAGGAAGGAAGGAAGGAAGGAAGGAAGGAAGGAAGGGAGGGAGGGAGGGAGGGAGGGAGGGAGGGAGGGAGGGAGGGAGGAAGGAAGGATAGATGGATGGATGGGTAGACTTAGTGATAGGAAGGTAAGCTGTAAGAGATTGAAGTCCTGCAGGCCCCATGGACAGAGGGAGGGTGCAGTAGGTGATTTTGTTCTGCATTTGCTGGAGACCAAACAGTAGGCCTGTTGCGAACGCCTTGGAAAGCTCAAGCCTTTCAAGCGTTTATTGCAGGAGACTCAGGTTTGCTTCAGAGAAAAGAGCTCTGGTTTCGATGTGCAGAATGGATCCAGGAGTAGACCTGGCAAGGGGTAAGCCACCATGGAACTTCCCAAACACACAGAGCTGCCAGGACTTGGTGGTGAATAAGTGTGTGGAGTAGACTGAGATCAAGGAGAAGACACATTATCCTCGGCTTCTGGCTCAGCTAAAATGGGAAACAACAGGAGAGGTCAGTGTTGGAGGTTAGAGAGAGATCTTGAGGGGCCTAGAGAACCCCTGAGTGGAGATGTCACTCATTCACTCAGCTGAGGGGGATCTCAGGAAATGCATGAGTGCTGGGTAGAGCACGGTAAGATGTAGGGACCCTTCTGACTGAACTGGGAGAGAGATGAATCAGGTCCATCCCTGCGTCTCCATGGCCATCACAGACTCAACACCCAGCAGGTTCCCCTCAGAGGCAAAGTCTCTCCCAGCCACTCGCCACAGGCTTTCCTATCCACCCAGGAACAGGCAGAGGAACTGGTAGTAGAGACACAGAGGGGCCTTCCTCCTGGGAGCGAAAAGAAGTTCATCATTCTAGGAACACACTGGGCAGTGTTTATGGATGAGATAGGAAGCCAAGATTTACACAAATGGTGGGAACTTTGTGGGGAAAGAAATAAAAGAGAAAAAAAGGGCCGGGCGGTAGTGGCGCACACCTTTAATCCAAGCACTGGGAAGGCAGAGCCGGGTGGATCTCTGAGTTCGAGGCCAGCCTGATCTACAAAGCGAGATCCAGGACAGGCACCAAAACTACACAGAGAAACCCTGTCTCGAAAAACAAAACAAAAGGAGCAGAATAAAGAAGCATGTGGACAGGGCTGAGGTCTTATTTGATGAACAAAAGATTGGGGCACAGGGTGTTAGAGTAGGAAACTATCTTTTGTTTTGTTTGAAACGTGGTCTGATCGTATAGCCATGATACAATAGCTCATGATCCTCCTGAGTGCTGAATTATGTTTCAGCTAGCTAGGAACCTGGTTTCGGTAAATCAGCTTCAGAAAGGACTTTTGGTTTTGGATTTTTGAGACACGGTTCCACTGTGTAGCCCTGGCTGTCCTAGAACTCACTCTGTAGACCAGGCTAGCCTCAAACTCTGAGATCTGCCTGCCTCTGCCTTCTGAGTACTGGGATTAAAGGCAAGCGCCACCACTGCCCGGCCAGAAAGGACTTTTGACGTGGCTGGGTGGATTAGACTTTGAGAGTTGGAAGGATTCGAGTTCTCTATGTCCATTTTGCTTCCCATTTTCCCAGACGCCGAAGCTTAAGGTAGAGAAAGATAGTGAACTTCCAGGCACGGAGTTAATATTGGCTGCAGTGAGGCAGGAGTTGGGGTGGGCTGGACACCACCCTAACGTGAGTTAGAGCGTTTGATGGGCATTTGATCCTAGCCACACTCATTGCTTCCCTGTCCTGTGAGTCTTTTTCTCTGGGTTTTCTTCATCTGTAATATGAGAGCATTGAGGGGGCCCAGGAGCTGAGCTCCTGCGGAATAGATATGCCAACACCCTGATTTATTCAAGATCAGTCTATGCTCCTTATTAACTGCCTGCTTCATAGCAGTGACCTCAAGGTTAACCGAACAGTCTTGCCAAGAGGCCTTGAAGTTAAGGGGAGGCCGGAGGACATAGGTTCTGAGCTTATTTTCTTCAGCTGTATGGTCTGGGTCCCTCTTCTCCTGTTGTCTCCCCTTTAGACTTCTGAAATGGCCCCTGTAGGACTTGTTGCCATGGCAGCTCAATGCTTTTTTTTTTTCCCCCAGCAGCTTGGTTGCCTTTGGCTCTCCTAATTCCAGTACAGTACTTAAATTGTAATGGGCAGTGTAATAGACAGGCTGAGAATGAGGTCATCAACCCGCATCAGACTGAAGGACTGGCCCCATCCCTGGCCCCCACTGACTTGCGCTTAGATCCAGGTTGGAAATCCAGCCTGAACCTTTAACACTGCACAGAGGTGTTTTGGTTTTTTTTTTTTTTTTTTTGGTCTTTTTGTAGCAGCAGACAGCACATCCTCTGATAAGTTGTAGTGGTGTGTCTTTGGACATGCGTGCATTGTTGGTTCACTCTGCTGTTTGTGTCTGCAGGTCGTGGAGCTGAATGTAGGAGGGCAGTTCTACACCACCACCATGGGCACCCTGATGAAACATCCAGGCTCCAAGTTTCCAGAGATACTATCCAGATCAGCTAAACACTACAAAGACGCACAGGGCCGCTTCTTCATTGACCGTCCTGGCACCTACTTTGGGCCTATCTTGGACTACCTACGCACTGGGCAGGTGCCCAGAGAGCACATTCCTGAGGTCTACCGTGAGGCTAAGTTCTACCAACTCCATCTTCTGGTCAAGATGCTGGAGGATATGCCACAGATCTTTGGGGAGCAAGTGGCCCGAATGCAGTTCTTGCTGGGAGTGCCAAACTACAGAGAGAACCTGGAGGTCCTGCTGCACCTGGCTCGGGCAGAGGCTGTGGCGATGCGCTCGTCAAAGGTGGTGGTGTGTGTGGTGCACACGGAGGAGGAGGATGCCAAGTGTGCGGAGCCGTTGCATATCTTGGAGGCCAAAAAGACGCCCGTTGTCAAATTTGGGCCCTGGAAGGCAGGCCCTGGGACGGAGGACTTTGTGCACTGCCTGGAGAAGGACATTAGAGCCCAGGGGTATAAGGTGTCCCCTCAGAGGTACCATCTGAGTAGGGACCCCTACACATGCTTCTGGATATTCGTCTTCACTTGGTGGTGATCCCTAGGAGGGGGCGGGCACTGTTGGTTAGGGGCCGTGGTGGGACTTGTGAAATCCGTTGCCATCAAAATCCATGTTCTAAAGCTGAGCCTGTAGTTCCAGCCCTTGGGAGGCTGAGATAAGAAGACTCCCATGAGTTCGAGGCCAGGCTTGGATATAGACTAAAACCCCATTGAAATGACTCAGGAGAGGCCAGGCTACCCTGACTCCACACCTGCTCCCCTCTGGATCCACATCTGCTTGCCAGAATAAAGTAGGGTTCTCCCATCTTCTGAGAAATGAAGCTTGTCAAATATTTAACAAAGTGTAGCCGGAAACTTCTCCGGTCCCACCCTGCCCCGCGGTCCCACAACCACTTAGAAAATAGTCACTTGAGGCTTATATTAATTACAAACTGTATGGCCTATGGCTTCAGCTTCTGGCTAGCTAGCTCTTTCATTTTAAATTAATCCATTCCTATTAATCTCTATGGTGCCCTGTGGTTGTGGTGCTACCGGTCTGCTGACATCTTGTTGCATCTCTTTTGACTCTGCCCTTCTCTCTGTATCTCTGCTTGGACTTCCCACCTGGCTGTAAGCTTTCTTGCCATAGGCCAAAACAGCTCAATTTATTATCCAGTGAGAGGCCCACATATTCACAGCATACAGAAAGACATCCCACAGTAGACAAAGGGTTCCTCGTTGCTTGCTGGGAAATAACCCTGATGTAAAACCCCCCCTAGCCTGCACCTGGTGTGACGTAATGTGGTTTTGTCTTTATAAACTCTGTGGTGCTCAACTTGGGGGCCAAGAGTTCTTTGTGGCAGGAGTCTGACATCAGTCACAGATTAAATAAAGGACTCTGATCTGGCTTCCTGTCTGTGGTGGTCTGTAACTTCGTAACAGTATCTTTAAAACAGTAGACCATGCCTGGTGGCCCACACCTTTAATCCCAGCAAGGAGACAGAAGCAGGTGGATCTCTGAGTTCAAGGCCAATCTGGACTACAGAAGGAGTTCCAGGACAGCCAGAGCTATATAGAGAAACACTGTGTCAAAACCCACAAAGACAGACAAAAAAGGCTGTGGGTAAACACACTTGCTGTGCAAGCCAAATGGCTTAAGTTGGATCTCTACAGCCCACAGTGAAAGAACAGAACCAACTTTTAAGTTATCCTCTGACCTCCACAGGTATTCCATGGCATATATGCACCCATGTGCACGCACGCACGCAAACACATATACACACACAATTAAAAGAAACAACATGAGGCTGAAAAGATGGCTCAGCAGATAAGAGCTTTTGCAGAAGACCGGGGTTTGGTTCCCAGCACCCTGGTACAGTGGTTTACAATTTAACTGCCTATAACTCCAGCTCCAGGGGATCCAATGCTCTCTTCTGGCCTCCTTTGGCAACTACATCCTCGTGCACATACCTTCACACAGACACACACAGAAAGACATCATTTTTAAAAAGCTAAAATGGGCTGGCAAGATGGCTTACCCGTAAAAGGCATTTGCCAAGCATGACAACCCGAGTTTCATCCCTAGGACCCACACAGAAGAAAAGGGAGAATTATATCCTATAAGTTGTCCTTTGGCCTACACAAACAAATACCAAAAACATTTAAGCCATTTTCTAGACATGCTCAATGGCATATGCTTGTTGTAGGGTAAAGGGTCCAGCGAAAGAAACCCACCCTGGCCCGGAAACCAGAGCCGGAGAAAGAAGCTTGTGAGGTTGAGGCAGGAGGATCACATACAAAAGGAAACTTTTGGCTACATAATGAAACTCTGTATCAAAATCACAAATCAGAAACAAAATACTTGCCCAAAGCAACTGACAGAGGTCTGAACCTGGCTAGAGCTGCTGAAGGTCTGGGCTGGATCACTTCAGAGGTTCTAAGAGGATTGCTCAGCCTTTTGAAGAAACAGGAAGACACAGAAAAACTTAAGCCTCAAAAAGTCTGGTTCTCCAGTGTTCAGATTACAGGCACGTGGGGGGGGGGGGGGTTGGGGGTTGGGGGGATTGGGAGGGTGGGGGGGAGGAGTGGGGTGGGGGTGGGGTGGGGAGTGGGCTTACAGTTCCAGAGGGATAAGAGTCCATCAGGGCAGGAAACTGTGGTAGGAGGCAGCATACATGATAGGAACAGCTGAGAGCTCACATCTGGAACCACAAGCAATACACAGAGTGAACTGGGGATGACCCATGGCTTTTAAAACCTCCCAGTGACGTACTTCCTGCAGTAAGGCCACACATCCTAAGTCTATCCAAAGAGTGCCAATAACTGGTGACCAAGTATTCAAACATCTGAGCATACAGGGGGAACATTCTCATTCAGACCACCACAGCTGGAGATGACCTCAGTGGTGGAGTACTTGTCCAATATGCACTTGGGATGATCTCCAGTACTAAAAATCTAAAAGAAATCGAAAAAAATCTAAAATATTAAATCTAATGTACCGCCCAGTGAGTACATGTATTTTATGGACGTATTTAAAAAAAAAAAAAAAACTTTTGAGATCTAATTGAAGTTCATATATCAAACTTGCTTATTAGGAAACTTAATTCAGTGGTTCTCACACTGGCTGCATGTTGGAATTAGTCAAGCAGTTTTAAAAAGTATGCCTGGAGCCGGGTGGTGGTGATACCACGCCTTTAATCCCAGCACTGGGGAGGCAGAGCCAGGCAGATCTCTCTGTGAGTTCAAGACCAGCCTGATCGACAGAGTGAGAATCCAGGATAGGCTCTAAAACTACACAGAGAAACCTTGTCTCAAAAAAACCAAAAAAAAACCCTAAAACCTGGGCCCTATCCCTAGAGATTCTCATTGTGTCGTGTGGTCTAAACACTGGATTTAAAAAACATCTCCCCTAGATATTTCTTTCTAAAGATATTTTTATTAGATCTATCTATTTTATGTGTGTGTTTTGCTTGCATGTGTGTATGCGCATCATGTGTGTGCCTGGAGAGGGGGAGGGGAGAGGGAGGGGGAGAGGGAGAGAGAGAAGGGCAGCAGCCCCCAGGCATGGCTGTAGGCATGGCTGCAGGAGCAGACAGCTGAGCCCTCACATCTTGAACCATAAGTACAAAACAGAGAGACCTGGGAATGGCAGGAGGATCTTAACTGTCAGGACCGATCCCCAGCGACGCACTTCCTCCAGCGAGGCTCCACCACCTCAGCTTCCCCTGCCACAGAACTGCCAGATCAAAGGTTCAAATGCCTGAGACTACAGAGTTCATCTCTCATTCAAGCCACCACACTCCTATCATCCTCTGCCTTACTGCCTGGAGACAGGGCCTCTCACTGAACTGGAAACTTCCTGTTGAAGCTGGGTTGGCTGGACAGTGAGCTCCGAGGATCCACCTGTTTCTGTCTCCTGAGACTTGAATTTGGGTCCTCACTCTTGTGTAGCAAGCATTCCTAACCGCTTAGCCATCTTTCCAGACTCCGACTTCCCTGTATCACTTAGATGGCAAGAGCCAGATTTACCCCTGTACTTGAAACAATGAAAAAACTGGACAAAATATACGAAATAATGTACAAAAGTGCAGACAGAACAGACAGCAAAGATTTGTCCTTATAGTCACACCGCTAGAGACAAACAAACAAACAAACATACTGAGCTGCTGCTGTGTCCTTTACCTCTTTTTTGAGAGAGGCAGGGGGATCCTGAGTTCAGGGAAACATGATAAGACTTCATCTCACAAAAGGGAAATAAAAAATACTTTTAAAACATACTAAATGGAGCTGGGTGGTGGTGACACATGCTTTTAATCCCAGCACTTGAGAGGCAAAGACAGGTGGGTCTCTGTGAGTTCTAGGCCAGCCTGGTCTACAGAGTGATTTCTAGGACAACCAGGACTACACAGAGAAACCCTGCCTTAAAACAAACAAACAAGGGTTGGGAATTTAGCTCAGTGGTAGAGCACTTGCCTAGCAAGCACAAGGCCCTGGGTTCAGTCCTCAGCTCCAGAAAAACCAACCAAACAAACAAAACAACAACAACAAGCTTCAATGGGATTAACGGCAGATGAGACACTTCAACCCCTTTGTCCCACAAGAGTGGACTTGAAGTCATAGCAACAAAGGATATCCAAAATAAATCCCAGGGAGGAAAAAACTATGAAAAAACAAAACAAAACCCAGGGCTGGAGATAGCCCAGCAGTTAGGAGCACTTCGTACTCTTTCAGAGCACCCAGGTTTAGTTCCTAGCACCCACATTTGGTTGCTCACAACTGCCTGCAGCTTCAGTTGTGACACCCTCTTCCGACTTCCACAGGCTCTGAATGCATGGGGTGCATGTGCACGCACGTGTGTGTGTGTGTGTGCGCGCGTGTGCGCGCACACACACACACACACACACACACACACAAAACAAACAAACAACAACAAAACCCAAAGCATCAATGAGGTGTGGAACAAATTCAAATACAAAATATCCTTCTATTTGGAGTTCTTGGTGAAATGAGGTGCTACTAATACAGTAGCCAGCTTTCTGTAGGTAGTCAGGGGGAAAGACTCATGGAGAGAATGACAAGTGACTCCCCATGTCACAGAATGGACACCACGGTTACAACAGCAAGGCCAGGAACCCTAAGAATGAGGGAGAAAGAAGCTCACAGCCGGGTTGGGATAGCTAAGTGGATCTTGTAAGAGACATTCAGGCTCTGAGGGGCAAAGCCAGAGTCAGTGGGCAGGTTGTCTAGCTTCCGTGAGATACCGCCATATCCCCAAATCTGGGGAAAACATACTAGACACCACTGCCCTTTTCCAGTGCTGCTTCTTCTGCAGCTAATTCTAAGATACAATTCCTAAGAAGGCCTCTACCTGTTTGCGAAAAGAGACACTAGACCCTCTCAACCTTCCTAATGCTATGACCCTTTTAATACGGTTCTCCGTGTTGTGGAGACTCCCCCAATCATAAAATTATTTTTGTTGCTATTTTATAATTGTAATTTTGCTACTGTTATGAATTGTCATGTAAATATTTTTGGGGGATAGAGATTTGCGGAACAGGTTGAGAACCACTCCACTAGACCATCCCATAGACAAGGAGTTAATCAAGATAACTAAGAAAAACTAGAGCTACTTTCTGGGATCTGTGAGAACAATGAGCTTAGTGTAAAGTAACAGCATTTGAGAGAGTTGCAAGGTCTAAGGGAGCAACCCAGCCAGCCACTAATGCTAGAGAGAGACAGTCAAGGTCAAGAACTAACCGAGTCAGAGTCGGAGATGGACAAAGGAGGCTTCAACCAGTCCTGACAGGGTGAGAAACACACAAACACTGTGATTCTTTCTCCGGCTGGACCAGGAGGACATTTGTAGAATGTGCAGTCTTCCATCTGGCCAACTGCTAAGGCCAGACCCTCATGAAGAGCCCCGGACCAGCCTACCTTGGCAGACAGCTGTAGGCCTCCTCTCTGAGAGCTTTACTTTCCTTCTACACTAAATCTTAGGATTCTCCTTCACTTTTCCTTGATCTCTTACTTTTCTGTAACCCTCTTTAATAAAATCTGCCTTGGGCTGGAGAAATGGCTCCGCAGTTAAGAGCACTTGGTGTTCTTCCAGAGGACCAGTGTTTGGATCCCAGACTCCACGAGGCAGCAAACAATCATCTGTGACTTCAGTTCCAGAGGATCTGATTCCCTCTTCCGGCTTCTGTGGACCCCAGGTACATACATGTGCACAGACATACATGTAAGCAAAATAACCATATACATAAGATAAAAACAATAAAAGTTTAAAAAATAAAGAGAGAGAATAATCGGATTCAGCACATTGCTGTGAGAGTGTAGCAGAGTGAATAATGGTCCTCTAAATGATATGCTCACCTCTTAATTCCAATCTCTGGAATTTGTAAATGTTATC